GGGGGGAGTACTAGTTAAAAGAGTCAAGCCTAAGATAGTTTGGCAAAACAAGACGAAGAAAGGATATGAACCCGTGACCTCTAATCTACGAGCCTCGAGAGCTACCGTTCCGTTCTGCCACGCGCCAAAGATAAGATTTGAAAACTAATGGACCTAAACAAGGATTAAATGCTTTATTCTTTTAGAAATGCCAAGCCACATAATATAGGCATTGCTATTCGAAAAGCTTTACTCTCAGAAATAGAAAGACCATGTATCACACATGTAAAATACATGTAAAATCTGAGAAGCCCACGTTATTATTCTACCATAACGAGAATCCAAGAAACAGTACATGAATTTTATTTTATCTGAAAGAAATTGTATGGAGACGTAAAATATATGGAATCTTGACGCGTCTATTTGTGTCAAGGGTCCAGGATATATGTGTTCAAGATATCATCTTGACGCCTTATGTAGAGATTGTTGATAATACATAACAAACTGGAAGTTTAACCGGCCACTTGTTACAAATAAGATATTGTTGTTACAAGGAAAGAGATAAATGTTGACTAATCTGGCTAACATTAACTTGATAAAAATGAATGATTGAATAATTGAAAAAAAGATTATTCAAGAGAATACACATTGAATGCTGAGATTACGTACACATTGATTTTGGAGGTGGATCCATAAGTAAAAAAAAGTTAAAAGTAATTGTGAACGTTCCAGAAGAAATGAAACAAAATATATGGTAGAGTTAGGGACATTTATTGTTGAGGCCAACCTAATTCTAGATGCAAAGGCACATAATAGTTAGATATAAACATGGTGAGTTGTTCCATAATATAACCAGTTGTTGTTGATACCCTCTTCTCTCTTATTTCTTTCATAACCATAGCTCGGAGAAGGAATATATAGAAGCAGGCCGACAAGTAATGACACGACGTGGTGGAAAAATATATGTGCATGCATGTATATCTCCAGACAAACCAATTATACTAACACCCGAAGAAACACACGTGTCTTCAGGAAAAGGATCCCAGAATATTGCTGAATGGTAATATTTGAACATATAGGGTGTGTTTGGTATGAAGGAAAACATTTTCCGGAAAATATTTTCCAATTTTCCCATGTTTGGTTGACTTAAATATTTTGGAAAATATTTTCCTTATCAACTCATTTTCCTTCAATTGGAGGAAAATGTTTTCCTTATCAAGAGAAGGGAAAATATTTTCCAAAACTCCTTCTCAACCTTCCATCCTATTCCCCAACCCACCCACACCCCACCACACCCACCCACCACCCCAACCCACCTCTCTCTCCAAAAAGAATTTTTTTTTTTAAATTTTAATTTTTTTTCCGTCACCACCCACCCTGCCATCCCGACCAAACCCCACCCTCACTGCCCCCTCCCCCCCCCCCCCGCACAAAAGTAGTTTTTTTTTTTTACTTTTTTTTTTTTGTAATTTTCAAATTTCTATTTTTTTCGTTTTTCCTGCACCTCCCCCCTCCCCCCTCCCCCCCCCCCCCCCCCCGATAAAAAAAAAATTTTACTTTTTTTTTTAATTTCAAATTTCTATTTTTTTTATTTTTCTGCACATACCCCCTGCCCCTGCCCCCCGTCCCCCAAACAACCCCCTCCCCCGTCCGCGCAAAAAAAAAAAAAAATTTAATTTTCAAATTTCTTTTTTTTATTTTTCTTGCACATATCCCCCTGCCCTGCCCCCTCCCCTCCCCTCCCCCTCCCCACCCCCCACCCCCCGCTCAAAAAAAAAATTACTTTTTTTTTTTAATTTCAAATTTCTATTTTCTTATTTTCTTGCACATACCCCTGCCCCTAACCCCCCCCCCAGGGAAAAAATATATATTTCAATTTTAATTTTTTCATCTGTCGGTTTACAGGTTCGAAATTTTACAAGTTACAAAGTTATGAGTTTAGAGGTTTATGTGTTTGAAAGTTTACGGGTTTAGAATTAATAATAAGTTTTACGGGTTCGAAAGTTCGCGGTTTTTACGTAAAAAAGTAAAGCAACACATTAGTTGCTTTGGATTGTATCAATTTTTAGAGACTTGGGGAAGGGGTGGGCGAGGGGGAGGGGTAAGGAGAGTTGCATAAAAAATATTTTCCTAAAAAAAATATTTTCTACTCTCTAACCAAACAATAGAAAATATTTTCCGGAAAATGTTTTCCACTCACCAACCAAACAAGGGAAAATAAGTGATAAAACCACTCATTTTCCATGAAAACATTTTCCATGGAAAACATTTTCCTTCGTACCAAACACACCCATAATCTCGGAAAATCGTACTTTGTGATTGATTACTTTCCTTAGAAGGAATATTGCTAAACATGATTCAATAAACTAACAGTATACCGACGTAGAAGCAAGAAATGCAAAAGGCAAAAGATAACCAAAATGGAAAAAAATAAAATTAAAATAAAAGGACTACAGTGGACCTTAGTGACCATTAACATTCTGCTGAGCAAAAATCTGGAGAGAACATAGTAATGATCGTCATTATCACCTAGCCATACCTTCACCTGAAAAAAGGTTGATAAAGAAAAAGAAACTTCAAATAAACCAAAATTAAGTAACTTTGCAGAATTAATAGCAAGCAGAGAGCAACTGATCGACGACCTTAACAAAGTCATATTTGGATGAAGCATTTCGTGTTGCCATTATATTACAACTCCCTTATCCTTCTTCTTCTCTATGAATATATGCTTTAGCTAGTGTGACGGGCGTTACAGTCACAGGTGATGCCGTTGATAACGAGGGAGAATGGAATCCACTTTTTAAACCGAATTTTGATTTGTGCACAAAGTATAAATAAATTATATAAGTAAGTATTTCCTACCATGCATGCTTAATTATTTATTAATTTATTGAAATATAAAGAGGTTCGAGCATAGAACAGGAGAAGAGAATAATAAAAGAGGTTCGAGTGCAAATACGGATTATTCACGCCTCAGAGCCCGTAATAGTCACCAAGGGTGTGTTTCCAATTTTTCTATGTTTGGTTGGCTTAAATATTTTAGAAAATATTTCCCACATGAACTCATTTTCCTCCAATTAAAGAAAAAAAAAATTCCTATCAAGAAAAGGAAATATATTTTCCAAAACTCTTTTTCAACCTTCTCCACCCTATTCCCCGTCCCCAGAACCCACCCCCATCCATCCCACCCACCCCCACCACCCCAACCCCCACCACATCCCACCCACCCCAACCTCGATCACAACCCACCTTAAATAGAAATATTATTAAGAGTACTTGCTTTTCATGTTGTAAATAGAGTACTTTTTTTATTTCAACAAAATGAATTTTTTTTCATGATGTAGAAAAAGTATTTCTTTCGTTTCAATAAAATGCGTATTTTTTATGATGTAGAAAAAGTATTTTCTTTCATTTCAACAAACTAAGTGTTTTCTTTTCCTGAAATAAAAAAAGTATTTTTTTTCCCAACAAAACGAGTACTTTCTTTTCAAGATGTAGAAAAAGTACTTTTTTTATGATGTAGAAAAGGTATTTTCTTTAATTTTAGCAAAACGAGTATTTTCTATTTATGATGTAGAAAGAATATTTTCATTTCAACAAACTAAGTATTTTCTTTTCCTGAAATAGAAAAAGCATTTTTTTCAACAAAATGAGTACCTTTTCTTTTCATGATGTAGAAAAAGTATTTTCTTTCATTTCAACAAAATGAGTACTATTTTTTCATGATGTAGAAAAAATATTTTCTTTGATTATAATAAAACGAGTATTTTCTTTTCATGATGTAGAAAGAGTACTTTCTTTCTCAACAAATTAA